GAGTGATGATGGTCTTTATTTTTACCAAGGCCAGCTGGTGACCCTGTGTTAGCACCATTGACCAATCTATAGCTCTGTTTCTACCAAACACTCTGTATATTACACTTGAAACTCGTACCTAAACCCTAGATCTGTTTTGGGTTTGCACTGCTGACTATTAACTGACACAGTGTAACCTACACTTTACATTTACTGCCAGATTGACAACTTAATGCTAGGCTTTCCCTCTGCTCCGCTCCTATTCATGGTCACTTTTCTGCCTCCCTTTATCTCGCCCCTAGCTCCTCACACATGGTATGTGGTTGTTTATCAGCCTACCACAAGGACACAAGCTTTGTTTGAGAAAAGACTGCAGGCAGCGAGACAAAACACTGCAGACAATGAGGCAGCTCTGTGGTCTGCAGCGTTTCTACCTCCACCTCAGTGTGCTTCCTGGTTTAGTGTGCTGGGTAGAGTGATTCCATTGCTACCATCCACAACTTTTGATAATGAAAATGCAACCATTCTAAGGTGTACTGAGACCCAACTGAACTGGACTGCATGGCGAAAGTGGAGAGAACTTAATTTCCAGCTGGCCTAGTGAGATGGCTGCAATTTACAATCATTTTCATCATTGATTGCTTTTGGATTCTTTTCTTGAGGAATTAATTAGTTGTTTGGTCCAGAAGATGGAATTTTTCTTCTTGAATGACTCAAAACGATTCATCGCGTATCAAAATAGTTGGTAATTAATTAATTAAGTAGTTGACAATCGATTAATGGACCAATCGTTGCAGCTCTGATTGTCTCTCCTCCCTAATTCCATGCTCCAGTCAGTGCATGCTGAGAAGCATTTGGTCATTCACACTGTGGCACTGACTGATATGTAATTACAGGCAAAGTTATGAGAAAAAACCTTCTGTTTTTAGTTTATACGGTGTAACACAGTGGGCCTGACTAGTTTTATCTGTGGTATTAAAACTACTGTACCTGTGTATATTGTGATGTCCATGCTGAAACAGCCTGTAATTTATCATTCTAGTGTATGGGTTATGATAAAAGCATTATTTCCTGGTATTTGTAGGCTGCTGGAGCAAGCGCCGGCCCAGATGGGTGACGGAGCGGTACGGTGGGCGAAGCTCGTCATCCCGCTGGTGGTCCACTCGGCTTCCAAGGTGCGCCTGCGGGCCGCAGCAGCCATGGAGATGGGCATGCCTCTTCTCCTGGAAAAACAGACGGAGGTGGCTGCAGTCATCGAACCGATGATGTCCTCAGTGAGTATCTGTGTGTCAGAGTGCATCTCCAGAGCAGTGCTTCAGTAGTTCTGAGGGTTTTCTTGGTTTGTTGGTTCATACATGACCTTGTGGGTTGTATGCTAACATTCACCACCAATATTTACACAACAGCACATCTTGGATAGTTAAATATTTGATATTCAACGCGATATTCATCAGGATATTTGACTATTTAAGATGCTTGATTCACGTGCAGCATTTATTACCAGCCCTCCTCGTATTGAACACCTGCCTTGATGAAGAGGAGTTGAGCAGTGTCAGTAACTCTGCTGATGTGCTTCTATTTCTTCACAGAAACTGGTTCCAGAGCTCCAGAAGCTTTTCATGTCTAAGAATGAAACCAATGTCCTAAAGCTCTGGCCCTTATTTGTGAAACTGCTTGGGAAGGTAAAGTCTAAATGCATATGTGTGTTCTGTCTCTGAAATACCAGTAGATGAGTGTATGACTGAACAAATAGACCTTTTGTCTAACAAAGAAACTGGCATTTGTAGGGATGCAGAAAAGCATCAGAACCATGATTGACCCGATTTTCTTTTAAATAACAAATTCCTGAAGTCCAGACTCTGAGAGGATTCCCAAGCAAAATGTGTTTTAAATGATTACTCAGCAAAATAGTTGTAGATTAACTTTGTGTCAATCCAATAATCAATAAATCAATCGAAGGTTTGAGTGCTAGCTGAGAGCAAATTCTTACGCCTTCTGATATGCAGAGTAGTGTTGCTCAACACAGGGTGTCCATGGGACTAAAATCTAGTAATTTAAATTTTAGATTTGAATAAATTCTGAAAGTCTATTTGCAAATGACATCATCTTTAGCTGGTCACATGAGACTGATGTGAATGTATTTCCTACACAGTTGCTGCACAGAGGAGGTCCCTTCATCAACTCTCTGCTGCATCTGGAGGAGCTTGGGTTCCGCAGCTCCTCTCCTACCATCAAGAAGATTGCCTTCATTGCCTGGAAGAGCCTCATAGACAACTTCGCCCTCAATCCAGGTGAGACTCTCCGGTCTCTGATTTTTTTCCTCTCTGATTAATCCTGTTTTTCAGCTCTTAGATTTTGCTTTGCACTGTGATCATGGCTGAGTTTTGTTGAATTTCTTATGTCTCTCCTGAAGACATCCTGTGCAGTAGCAAACGTATGAAGCTCTTGATGCAGCCCCTCGCGTCCATCCATGTCAGGACAGAGGCCCTGCTGCTCACCAAGGTGGAGGTCTGGTGGTACCTGGTGGTCCAACTCGGGCCCAATCTGTCACCCAATTTTGATCAGGTAAGACACGCCCGTCTCTCGCCTCAGTCACCTTTTTCCAGACTGTTAACTGTTTGGCAGGGATTGTAGCTGTTTACTGTCATGGCTCTTCTCAGTTCTCAGAAGCTAACTGTCACATTCCGAGTGTCCATGGCTGTTTCATGCTCTCTTAAATTGCATATTTAATCTGCTGCTGATGTGTTCTGACTCTGAAGCTGTTGTGGTCTAGACTAATGTGCTGTTTTTAGGACAGCTCGTAAAGTGAGCAGTGTTTTTGGGTGTGCTGTGTGTCAAGTTTGCCTGGGCCCACCCTGGTTAATGCTCATGGTTAACATTATGGGCTTGCACTCACATCCGCATATCCTGTATGGTGGAGCCTACTGTCTGCTTGATGCTTGTCGTTGTGGTGGTAAAATATGATTATAGGCTCGATATCCTCTTGTGTACCTCTGCCACAGCTTATAGACACACAAACACCTTTTTCATTCGTATGAGGTGTATGACTGTGATCCTGTGAGTTCTGGATAAATTCATGTGAATTTGAGTGATGAATGATAGTAAAAGTTCAAGATTGGTCAAATTTATAAAAAAAAAAAAAGATGCATCGGTTATAATTTGGCGTTTCGAGCATCTTTGCATCATTTAGAAACCTATTTATTTATATAGAATTATTAGAAGAGACCCTGTGCCTCTTATTATTTAGAATTTGACCATTTAGATCAATTCTTCCTCTCAACTGTTTCTTCCAAATCCCATTCCAAAATGGAGAACAGTGATTCCAGTATGTTTTGGTGCCATTTTAAAAGTATTAAGTGTATTTTCATGATTATCCTGATAATAGAGTGTATCACAATTATCTTGGCAAAAATAATCTTGACATGAAATTTCCGTATCCTCCATGCCTATTTATGATGATAAATTTGATGCATAAAACCTTTACTGACTGCAGGATGAGTGAACAGTATTTGTCTCTCTCCAGGTTTCTGTTCCTCTACTCCAGTGCACCATTGGATCCGACTCCTCCTCAGTTCCAGGCACCCCTTCTAGAGCTGTGGGTCAAAATGGTACAGTTGCACCAGGAACACCCAAGACCGGTGTGTTTATACATCCACCTCCCTCCACCCAGACCTGTCAGTCTCCTACAGTATATGAGTTGCTAGACTAGCATACATAAATACTGAATTTGCATCATTTCCCTCCTCTTGCAGCCACTCCAGGCTTCAACAGCCCAGCCAATACGTCTCGGATGAGCCTAAACTCCAGCGTCCACGTCCCCACCACCTTCCCCTCCATCCAGCTGCTGGGTCTCGAGATGTTGCTTCACTATTTTCTGGGACCAGAGGTTACTGCAGCGGCAGCAAAGAACAAACTCATCCTGAGTCTTGGTAAGTAAGAGCAACACATACCTACTTGTGTGTGACGGTGCAGCAGCCATTCATACATTTGCACTGACATGCTGTGGCAAAGTGTGATCTTAAACTTGTGTTGTATTTGAGCATTTAACTGAAGCTGCAAAGAAATACTGGGTTGTAATAGTACCTGGTGGAGTTTTTGACCACTAATGGCGCTAAAAAGAACTGCCAATAAATGGTGACAATTGTGGCCTCTTTCTATTGATTGGGCAAAATACCATGTTGGAACACCATGTCAGATGTAAACAAATGGAAATTCAGCCTCATCAATGGTCAGCTGCATGTTAGGTAAATGAATTAAAAAAAACTGCAGTTTTAATTGTAACATGTTTCCCATATGAGCAAAATATGTTTTTCTCTGCAGAGCCCTTGAACCACCCACTCCTGTCCGGTGCTTCCTCTTTCACTAAACATGCTGCCGTGCTCACCTCGAACATCAGAGATGGATTCCTTAACGTTGGCAAAGATGCTCCAGGTAAACGCCACAGCTTGACGTGACTGAGTTGACCGAAATTTGCCACGGACTCTAAATGACATTTCCTTTCTCTAAAGGAGTCTAAGCTGTGTAGTTTGTGTCAGTTAAATGGCACACCGTCCCCACCACCTCCTGTCAGCATTTGGCAGAATGTCAGTCATTGTTAGACGCCTTGAGCTGTAACCCCTAACCTGCTGTGTGTGTGTAAACGTGTGTGTGTGTGTGTGTGTGTGTGTGTGTGTGTGTGTGTGTGTGTGTGTGTGTGTGTGTGTGTGTGTGTGTGTGTGTGTGTGTGTGTGTGTGTGTGTGTGTGTGTGTGTGTGTGTGTGTGTGTGTGTGTGTGTGTGTGTGTGTGTGTGTGTGTGTGTGTGTGTGTGTGTGTGTGTGTGTGTGTGTGTGTGTGTGTGTGTGTGTGTGTGTGTGTGTGTGTGTGTGTGTGTGTGTGTGTGTGTGTGTGTGTGTGTGTGTGTGTGTGTGTGTGTTAACGGTTCCATCTCTTGTGCTTCTCCTGCAGATTCTCTTGTGGCTGTCATTTGGACCAGTCTTGTCCGGTTTGTCAACTTAACCATAGAGTCTGGTAAGTTCACCTGGATTAGCAATAAGTAAGGTGTTTACATGTGATACAGAGGGCACTCTCCAAGAAATGCAAATTAATGTTACACATGTAACATCTTTTTATCAGATACAAACCATCTTTACTATTCTGCTCTCCAGTCCACTCACTGAACATTATGTCCCGTCTTTGTGCGGCTAATCAGAACTCTGAAGGTAGCTGTAGATCAAACTCATTAAAGTTTGCATTGTTTTTGAAAATGTGTTTGTCTTAAGAAAGTTGAAGCATGGAAAGCTACTTCCTGTTTATCGATGTCAATGTTTTATACATTTGTTTTTGAGGCCTGTTTACTTGCAAATTCCATCTATTAAATAAATAATGAACAATATTCCCACTGCTTCATATGGTCTCAATAGATTGTCATTGTGGCTGCTTCACAGCACGGCGGGCTCTTAAAGTTGGGGTTCCCGCCTCATAGCGCCACATAGAGCACTCTGATTGGGTCTGGGCTTTTGTCTTCTGGGAGGAGGGCCATTGAGACCTAATCCTCCTCTCCGGCCCGACTCACTCCCACTGTCATCAGTTTAAGTCGGAGCGTTCAGAGCCTCGTGGTCTGGACTGCTGTGAAGAGAAAAAAACACTGAGGGGTCTGTCCCCAATGATGACTCTCTTCTCTTAAACCAGACACATGTCCTGCTTTAAAGCAAAGCCTAAAAAAAATGTTCTACAGATGATTTGAGCTGACTCTTATCCCTGACTGTCAGTAGGCAGTAAGAAGGATCGTCAGGGCTGTGAAGTACTGACGCTGATGCTTCAGGCTCTGCAGAGCATCGTCACCTCAGAAGCTCTGCCTGCAGACAAAGTCCTGGTAAGAAACACCTTCTACTGTCATCTTTCATGTATCTCACTCACTGTAGGCACACACAGAGTAAATGTATTCATTCATTCATATGTTGCACCACATTTAAATTAGGGATGCCATAATTATCGAGCATTAAACTTATGCAGAAAGAATAAATAAACCAGTCAGTCAGAACTGTTGTGTTAACAGTGCTGTCACTTAAATTTCATTAGATCAGAGCTATGAAATATGAAATCCTCTTTGTTCACTACATCTTTGCTCTTCTTGCCATCAGGTGTGTAAAAACTGCAGGTTATGAACTTCTTAAAATACAAAGATATGAAATTATCATTTATCTTATCTGTAATGGCCATGAGAAGCATGTAATTAGTGGTTATTATATCTGTTGAAAATGAGTTATAAATCAGTATCTATTGAGTTTATGCTGTCTTGTGAAGGGCTCATGCAGTATCGATCCAAGGCACACTGTAGGGTTCGTGTAGAATTTAAAATGCCTTTATTTTACATGTGACAACATAGTCAGTGCCAGCAGCAGCTCGCACGCCAATAGTGTTTCACTTCTAATACTGTTGGTCATTTAAAATAAATATATACATTTTTGCATCAATGCAGTTAATGAAAATATCTTAAGTGGAATACATTTTTGTTTGACTTTCTTTGAACGTCTGATGCCAGTTTGTTCATTAGTTTACTGTTTCAGTGACTCAGGCTCCCTGATTGGCTACTCAACAGACAGACTGTGGTTTGGATATCTTTGAATTTTAATGTTTTAGTTTGCTAAAATGGCTCCAAACTTTTAACTGTGAAATCGTTTACCTCAGATTCTGTTTGAGGCCACAGCGAAAGGTATTCCCCCGAGAGTTCTTGGCTCTGCCTCCTATCAAGTGGGCAAGATGGATGTGCTGAATGTGAGTGCTTCTCGGTCTACAGATTCACATTCAGTATTTATGGAATTTCTCATAAGGAGCATTGCTTAAACTTTGTGTCTCACTCCTCAGGGAACACCGGCTCTGTTCCTCATTCTCCTTCTCTACAACAGCAGCCTGCTCTCAGCCTACATAGAGGACGAGAGGTTGGTCTAATGTTTATGTTTATGATGTTGTCAGTTTAATCTGTGCTCACTGTAGTCTGGTTTCAGCCTACACCGACTAAAAAGGCAAACGGTGATCTTTTCTGCTTTGAAGTCTGAAAAGCCTACACACACTCTTGTCTCCATGAAACCTCCATGTGTTGGTTAATCCTGCATCGTCACTGCTACAGACCTGCAAAAGAGGAACACCAACTTTGGTCCAGTGATTGACAGCAAGTCATGTAACTCTTGAATACATATAAACACTACAGATGTATAATAACGCATGACTGAAAACATGGGTGTTCAAATATTTATCCGCTATGCTGCCTGGTCATTTGGCGTGAAGCACAAGTTGTTACTATGATCACAGAGCTTGCAAGTGGAATCAAGTTTTCCATGGTTACAAAAAAAGAGTCCTTTTGAGTGGCCTGCTAATGTGGTATAATCACACAAGTATTTAATCAGTTTTTCACTTCATGACTAAGTTGCAACACTTAACCCTGGTTACTGTCATCATTTAGTCGTTTGTGATCAAGCACCCCAAAATGTCATGATTGTTGTTTTTGGGAATATTTGAGTGATGTTTAATATACAGTAGCAACGCATTATTTAAAGGTGCTTTATATAAATTTAAGGCTAGATGTTGCACTAGAGCGCTTTTTATTTTATTTTTTTTAACCTCCCATTTCATAAAACGCTCTTCAACCTCGCTAGAAATAAAATAAAACTCACAAACTGTCTTTCCACTGTTCCAACAACAATTCCCAAACTCTGGTTAGCTTGAAAAAACAGGGTGTCTGTGGCGTCTAAGAAAAGTATTAGACACCAAATTAGAGCCTGACCAATTAAGATTTTAGAGGGGAAAAATTCCCCCGACTACTGGAACAACAGCTATTGGAGTGAATTTTTGAGCTGGAATAAAAATGGACCGATTATGCATGCAAATAAAAGCCCATCCTATGAATTGAAGTTTGGTAATTAAGTTAAACATTCTTAAGTTAAACATGTTAAATGATTATGGCCGATATCACAGGCACTTACAAGCACACACAGCTGGACTGCAGAAGTAAGCAATGCTCCCGGATCAACACTAGCAAACATTTGTTTGCTGCTATGTTAATGATTTAAATCTCATTAATGTATAATCTGTAAGTAAAGTAAAGTGGTGTTGTTGTGGATAAAGGTTTGGTGCCCTCTGGGGGTGCAAATGTAAACCGCAGGATTAGTTTCAATGCGTCCACCAATATGTGCCTTTTCCAATTTTAAATATCTTATCTTCACTTAAAAAAATTAGATATTGTCTCAGCCCTAAAAAATAACCAACCTAATACATATTTAAGCTATATGGATTTAGGAAGGTGGTACATATTCTTTGTACGACTTGACATTCTTTTAAAATTGTTGACTTTCCGTCTGCAGGTTTTTCCAGTGCCTTCAGACGCTGGTGGGCTGCAGTTTGTCCGGCCCCACTTCCCCTCTGGCGTTTGGGGAGGCGGTGCTGGGGGCCATCGGACGCAGTGCTGGCTCTCTGCAGAACAAGGAGCAGCTATGGAGGATGTGGAGTGCGATGGTCAGCCCGCTTACTGACACCATCACACAGGTAGGCAGAGCGGCAGCGGCATCGCTCACAGGAGCAACTCTGATGCCCAGTGCTGTCATTAAGTGCTGATTTTAAAAAAGAATTCATAGTAGGGATAATGGGTATTGTGAGTTAGCTTGACTGTGTCAGCAAGACTTAGAGGAATAGATGTGATTAAAAGGGAAGGGTAGGGTAGGGATGAATATCTGAAGTTTTAGTTTGAATTGTAGTCTCAAGCCGATCATCAAGCTTTGGTATCATGGCCAAGGGATTTTTTGAATGGATCAGGGAGCTTTTTCTATCACAGTGTATGTGACGACCCCTGACTCAGTGACATAATTGATGGATATTTCATATAATATTTAATGCATAACACAATTCGTACGGAACAACCGATAAACTGTACAGTGAACCCAAACAGTGAACACAATAACTGCAGGAAGTTTGTGTAAAACCCGAGATTTGGGTGAATCTTGAGCAGATTATTTCCAACATTTTGGAAACTTTATTTTTCACAATTGCATTTTTCTTAACAATTTAGAAGTGATAGATGAAGGCTTGGAGTCTGGAAATTTAGGTCTAGGTTAGTGAGTTTAGTTAGGTAAGTGATCATGGCGGCAGAGCACTAAATTAACCTCACAACAGTAACATTTTCAATCACTTTTTTTTTTAAATACAGTCTAATGAAGTCAACCAAGGTGATGCTCTGGAGCACAACTTCAGTGCCATGCACTCGGCCTTGTTGTTCCCCATTACACACCTGCTACGTGGCACACCACTACAGCAGGTCTGTTCATCTTCAAATTGAATTTTACTTTACAACCATTGCACTTTTAACTGCTGTTGGCCCTTATAGACCCTGAAGCAGCCGCACCGCTCCTAAAGGCAATGTCCTGATTCTGAGCCCTGTTATTTTGATCAGGCGGCCCAGAAGTCAATGCTTTCTACGTGGTCCAAGCTGTACAAAGTGTTTGCCCGCTGCTCTGCGCTGGTGGTCACAGCTGAGGAGAATATCTGCTGCGAGGAGCTCTGTGCAAAGATGACGGCTGCAATAGACAAAGACGCCCTCATGGTGAGGAGAACAAAATTATTTGGTGGGGGATTATGGCTACAAGTAGAAATAAACTGAAATAATATACCAATTGGCAAAGTCTGAATGTGAGAAACCATGAATAATTATCTCAATTCAATTAATACAAAATTAAAAATAAAAACAGTATGTTCAAAGTGTTGAGTTTAATATTCTCTATACATAATAAGATACCTTATACTCTGTTCTTATTTGATTTTCTCATTATATAATTAGTCAGAGAAAAGAACTGGGAAGTAGTATTTTATTTAGTTCTATTTCCCTTCTGGTGACGTTCAGATTTTTGAAAAAAAAAATAGTTTAAGGCACTGTTTTGGTTTAAATAAACAAAAGACAAACTTAAAAAATGAATCTGTTAAATACTTTTGAAAGCAATCCTGCTTTAACATATTGATGCTGTCTGATCCTCCAGGTTCCTTCAACATTAAGTGCAGTCGCCAGTATCCTCCAAGTCATGGTGGAATGTGTGGACTTCTCGCCGTACACTCCTCAGTTTCAGCAAAAGCTGAAGTGTAAGGGAACTTAAGCTACCATTTCTTTAGTATTCACACTAAGATTAAATAGAGAACTCACCGTTCCCACTCTTGTTTCTTCCAGCTCCTCACACTCCAGTAAACTGGATGAAGAAGAGGAATAAGGTACTGGGGAATCTATCCACCTTCCAGTCCCTGCTGGTACAGTGTCTAGAGGTTTATCTGGAGGGACCCGAAGCTTCTTCTGAGGCCACAGGATTGGCCCTGGTCTCCATCCTGTCTGCTCTCTTCACCAACCTTGCTCTTGCAAACACCGTGAAGGAAGCCCTGACATCTGTGATTCAACCTCTCACCCTCTTCTATAAGCAGGCAGCCAATGAGCCGCCCAAATTCACCTCTCAGCTTCTTGGAAAAGTGGGTTCCTTGTCCAATGGGTACACATTTTTAATAATTTTACTTTTTTTAATGAATAACTTTCTGTCGTTTTCCCCTCCTACAGCTGGAGAAGCTTGTCAGCGATGTTCTGGGCTGCCTGCAGACCCGCTCTGCGTTGGCGTACAATGATGAGCTCCTTACTCTGCTGTCTCCTCTA